CTTCTACACCTCCAGAGCCGCCTGACCTATCATCGGTCCCCTTGGACTACCATGATCTCAAGCAGGTGTTCAGTAAACACCTGGCCACGGACACTTTACCTCCCCATAGACCATACGACTGTGCTATTGACCTGTACCTGGGAGCCACCTTGCCCAACAGTCATCTCTTCCACATCTCCAAACCCAAACGACAGGCTCTAGAGGAGTACATTGAAACCGCCCGACGTGCAGGTATGATCCGTCCTTCTTCCTCACCCCTGGGTGCAGGGTTCTTTTTTGTGGGGAAGAAGGACGGTGGCCTCCGTCCATGTATTGATTACTGTGGTCTCAATGCTATTACTGTTACAAAACAAATACCCATTACCTCTCCTCTCCTCTGCTTTTGAGTCTCTTCAGGGCACGGCAGACTTTACGAAGTTGGACCTCAGGAGTGCCTCAAGTCACTCCTCAGTCACTTGCCAGTTCGTTCTTGTCTCTAGGCCAATTTTTCTCTGTGCTGTCTTGTTTTTTTTTTTTGTTTGTTTTTTTTGTATATTATTATTCCCTAGCCAGCTACTGTTTTGTGTTCTCCCCATGGACTGTTCCTCCGGACCGTGGCTCCACTCTCCCCTCCTAGGCAGGTCAATGCTCAGTCGCCTATCTGTTCTACTATTGTCGTCATCATCTCTCTCTGTCTCCACCTTCAGTAGCCACCATCACCACCGGCCAGCCCAGGAGTGACCCAGCCTACACAGCTCGGCCCAGCTCTCCATCTCCACACCTCCTACTGTTTGTCAACACCCGGTTACTACTGATCGACAGGACTACGCACTATTTCCTTCTGTGCATTTTGTTATTTCTCCTCATCACTGTACATAATAAATCACTGCTTGCATCGAAGTCGGCTACCTGGGTCCGCCTCTTTCTCATTCGCTCACTGACAGGTGCGAACAGCACATAACACTTGGCACAGAGAGTCCCAGTTCTACTACAGGTTATATGAATCTGTGACAAAAATCGCAGGGTATTAAACTCTGATTTTAATACACTATAAAATTTTCCAGGCTAGTAAAGCACTTGGGTTCAGTGAGCTAAATTTAATATTAATAAGCATGTATGAGAAGATCTTATTGAACTTAATGAGTTCAAAATGTTTGAGGACTGTCGACCCTGAGGAATTAGGCCAGTAGTTTAATAAAGAGGGTTGTGCCTCACCCCTCCAGGGTTTCCATCAGAGGCTGTGACAATCAGATGGTACTGATCAGTGGTCTCTCTGTCCAGAGGCTTACCCAGAAGTAGAAGGCCAATCCTGTAGAGAGAGGGGTCGGAGAAGACACTTGTATTACTATTACAAAAGAAGAACACATTACACAGGTTTGTTTAGAATCTTGTATTGAATCATGTATTTGGTCACATGAAGAAACAGCTTTCATTTAAAAGGTTTATTCAATGGTGGAAAAGGCTGCATTTCAGAGTCTGTTTACTTATTAGACAGACTTATAAAACACAGTCACTAATAGAGGAAGATGAGCTTTGGGTGAAGAGCAGGTGGGCTTTTAAATGCTCACGCTGCGTTTCTCTCCTTGGAGCCCAGTTCCTGCTCCTGAAGCAGACAGAAAGATTCATGTTTTCTGTCCAGTGACTACCGCAGACACAGTGGCCCTCCTGCTTGCTCGCATGGTGTAATTTGGCATCCTGGAATTCCAAACACAAAGTGTGGATGCGTTCCCAAGCAGAATGCTGAATTATCTTTGTTTGCACACACAGCCACACAAGACACGTGAGGGGAAGTGCAGCCACACACAAACACTATTTTACTACCACTGTCAGGAGGGGCTCTGCCAGGACCGCAAATGTAAGGAAAGACTAATCATCTAAACGCACTGCTAGATTGATGCCCGCAATTCCCTGCTGTGCCCCCTGACTTCTTCAGACTTCTAATTTAAAGCTCATGTGGCCAAACAGTCCAAGAAAAATGTTGACTGCTACTTTCTTCCTGCCTCTCCTGCCAATAACCTTCAAACTACAGAGCTTCATCTTAAAATCTGACGGGCAAATTACAGCACAGAAAATTTGATGAACATTTCTCTAAACACTTCCTCCAGGTTGTGGTGAACGCACTGCTCTGAATCCCATACATCTGATGATCGGTGGTTCAAAAGGGCAAACAGCTTTCTAAAAGCACCATAAAAACACAGTACACTATTCTTCCATGACTGCTGTGCTCATGTTTATTTATACGTTAGCACAAGATTAGGAAATAGCCCTCACTGTGCTCAGTGAAGCTGAAGGTAGAGGAAGGTTGGATGTGAATGTGATAATGAAGATATACAGTGATAATTGTCATAATTATGGTCATAATGATGATGATCTTAATGCTGATGATGACAAAGATTAGAATGATTAATTCCACTTAGCAAGCCCGGGGAGTTTGTTCCTTACTACAGCTGAAATACTGAACTACACTTGAGTGGGTGGGCCTGAGAGGTTCACTGATCATGTGTAATAGCGTCCTGCCTTCTCTCCCCAGCCGCCACAAATGAATAGATGTTGTCAGACAGACAGGATGCTGTTACCAGCACTGTCTGCAGTGCCAGTGGTTTGGGTTAGAGGCTATCCATCTCAGTCCCACTAACAGCTACTATTTCATTCAGCTCAAATCATGTCTCTGTATGGTAAAGTGGATTTGATGGACAGGACGTTAGTTCCAGGTAGCATTAATCTTTTATTTGAGGTCAAGTCTGGCTAAATGAGGTCTGGTCTGGCGTTACACGTACATTCTGAGAGTGAAATATTTACATAATTTTCAGTCAAAGCAGATGCAGCTAACTGATCTGACAATTTCAGAGTTACAGAATAACTTACTTAACCCCTAAACAAACTCATTCTCCCCAAACGTAAGATGCATACTGTTCAACATCCTGCAGAAGGCACGACTAATGGTTTTCACCCAATCAAGTTATTATTTATGAAAAGGTTTGCCTGGTATCGGTGCCTAAGTCACATGACTTGGCTCAGATTATCTGTTACTGATTAATCAACATCACTGCAAATTATCATGGTCACTGGTGGTGTAGGAAATGTTGAGCAGTTAGTAATAATCCGTTATTTTCAGTGAAACAATAACCAAAACTCATAAGAATAATTACACCCAATCCCTTAAAATGCTGATGATTAAAAAACTTTTATGGCGTTCATGGTTTTATTTAGCAACTACACAAGTGTATGTATCCCGTGAGATACGTTGCCAGATTGCGGGGTTAGAGTCATGTGCAATATTGAGGATATGTATTTTTACTTTTAGTTTTAGGAAATGTTAATATTCATTGCTAAAACAGGATATTATCGTGTAAGTGCATTATGATGGTGTGTTAGCTTGTATTTTGAATCAATAAGACCAATTATAATATACAGAGAAAACATAAGGGAAAATTTGTGTTTGGGGCACAGATTAGTATTTTGCATACAGAATGTACACTTGAACAGCACATTTTTGTCTGTGCATCTTGGCAGAACCTGCACCTTCTCTTGTCAGTGAAAACTGGGAAGTGATCCACCTTATCATAACAAACATCATCCAAAGGTCTTTGGGTTGTGGGTCTTTGGATGCATCTGATGGGCGCATTCTCCTCCATTCCCTTAGAGGGTAGTCCTTTCTTCTTTCTGCTATGGATGAGAGCATCTGCAGCTTCCAACCTGAACCTCTTCAGTTTTCACTGACAAGGGAAGGTGCAGGTTCTGCCCGGATGGACAGCTGGCCATCTCCTGTCAGATATGTGCTGTTCATCTGTGCATTGTCACACAACTGCTTCTGAAAATCCCACAATAAATAAAGTTAGAGGTGTTGTTTTTACTTATCCTTTACTTTTTTTAATCAGCTGAAAATTAAACCTACAATGTACTGATTTCAGGTTGCTAAGACTGAGATAATGCTGTTGTAGGCCTATACTTGGAGAAATCTAAAATGCATCATTCTCTTCAAATATAAGGCTAAAACATTTAATTGGGCAACATATCCTGGGAGAAGCAACACATAAAATAAAATAAATATATACAAAATAAAAAACAAAAATATGGAAATGGTTTACATAGGTGCAAATAAGATAAGAGGTAAAAATCATTTTTCAATTTCTACTCCTAATTGCTTAAGGGTTAAATAAAATGTCTCACTGAAAACTATGAAATAAATCAACATGGCATGGATTTGTTTACTTCTTTTGAGTGTTAGTGTATTTATTTAGAACCAACTCTGGCCAATGTATTAGCACGGGCAGTTACAGTGTACCTTCTCCTGAACTCCTACATTTTCAGTTGCAATTTGACATTGAAGTGAGAAAACTGGCTGCCAACTGGAACACATGGCCCAAGGAGGCAGTGAAAAAAGTTCAAGTACCAAAGGTGGCATGGTCACTAGGTTAGGGTTTTTGTGACTTAGAGTTGATACAAAAAAACAGGTTTTGGCTTTAAAAGTGATGCCGTCACCAAAAGGAGATGGAAAAACCAGCAACTGTAAGCAAATGTAAGGATTTCCATACTGCAGTGCTAAACTCTGTTCCAAGCAGACACTGACTAACATTCATATATTGTGTCAGTGCCAGGTCTTACCTGATTGTCAGTCCCACCCAGACCTGGGATGTCACTAAAAATACTTGTTTATGATGTGTTCAACTGTGATCCTGCCACAACAGGTTAGCGCGTCCTTACAGAAAGCTCTCTGTATAACACCTGGTTGCTGTCACACTCTCAGTCACTGTTTGAATGGTGAGTACAGCTCGCGATCATAATGGTAAGTGAATCTGAAGCATTTCCACCTCCACCAGGGGAACCTGCCTCACTTATAGGGAGTTGCAGACTGGAAAGCTCATTATTCATAATATCTGGATTGAACCAGCTCCATATGCTGTCTGAATCGGAACATGCATCAGTGCAAAAAAATCCTTTCATGGAACCACACTGGATTTCTGAAGGGCAGAAAAATGAGAGCATGAGGTATTTTGCACACTCATCAAGTGTACCAGCTAATAATTCTTTGATTCATGATGTGTTATATCAGCACCTGCTTGAAGTTATTATATTGACAGATTTGTGAGAGCTGGTGATGTAATTGTAATATTTCTGCCACACAGAGAATGAGCTAAAAGAGAATGTATGCATCTACCTGTATTTCAGCAAGATTTCTGTCAAATTTGTTTTATGATTACAGTAGCAATGGCAACAATAGCATTCTTCTGTTATTTTGATCATGTCACAATGTTTTTGCTTACCTTATAGTACCAAAATGAAACCAGAAATATCTCTCCACAAAAAACAAACTATTTTAACACTGTGGAGCGTATCAAGAATAAACAAAAGGCAGTGCTGCAACACAGCTCGTCCTTGCATGGCTAAGACACTGAGGATGCAGACAAAGGCTCTAATCAATTAGTGAGAAATGCGTCTGGCAGGGTCCTGCATTCTCAGTCTTGCCACATCTCTTCACCATATTTGCTTCCTTATTTAAAGGATAGTAAAGGCAAAGACCACTTTAATATTTTATTTCTTTTCCTTGCTCCCAACTAGTGGTAAGATGAGGTGGGTTTTTCAAATGCTGGTGTTCATTATGAGAGGTAAGGTAAGATATTTATGTGCCTTTTACTTCCCAGATAGATTTGAAGATTTATGCTCTGGCTTCTTCAATTTCAACAGTTGCATGAAGGGTCAATGGAGGACAGAGCTGGAGAGAAAGCCTGGGAAGAACCAAATTCCAGCCATAAAATAGGATTCTATTCTGTGTGATTATTCCCATAGAGTTCTTTTGAATTACAAGTGAGCTCAGTCTGCCAGTTTCTGTTAGCTCTGACTTACCACAGCTTGGTAAAAATTTATGCCTCCTTGTTTTATTTCAGCATACACAGCAGACTGCCACGGAATGCTAATGGCATTACGATATGAATGAAATATGAAAGGAACTTGTTCTTTCCATATCATCACCCCACTGAGCAATATACTGTATTAATGTAAAATTGAAATCAATAATAAACAATCATATTGAAGTCAGCACTACTACTCACTGCCTTAAAACTGCACATCTCTCCTCTCATTTCTTGTCTCCCACTGCCATCTCTCTCTATATTATCAGTAATGATGATAGGCACACCCTGCTACACACCCTACCCTGTCTGATGGGACTCCATGGTCATTGCAGTGAGAGAAAGAACACTGTGTCTCAACATATTATTATGTGGCTCATCTGTAACTGAAATTTCACTTACGTCTCAGAGAGGTTGAACACCTTCTGGGAGTCTCCACTCACAATGCGATATGTGATTGGGTCATTTTCTCTGTCTGTGGCCTGTTGGAAATAAAAAATAAGGAGCTTGAAAGTCATATAATACCAATTAAAGCTGACGAGGTTTACGAGATATGACAGTTGTGAAACAAGGATGCTGAACTGAAGCTGAAGTGAATAGACTCATTTTTGGAGAGTAAAATGTGAGAAAAAAGGAAAATGTGTTAATTTTACAATGACTTAAAAACTTGAGGTTAAGAACTCTAGCATTAATACTGAATGAGTCATTATATTTCGCACCTTATTCACATGTGCCTTTGTGTGAGTGTGTGTACTTGTGGGTTAGTGACTCACCTGCAGATTGAGCAGAATGGCTCCGATCCTCATTGCCTCACTGACTTCCACGCTGTAGGTGAGGAGGGGGAAGCGTGGGGGGCTCTGGTTGTTGGGTGGCAAAACTTCAATGTACACTGTGGTGATGGAGCTCCTGGTAGAAAGAAAAGCTCACATCACCCTACTGACAATAAAAAATTAATTCAAATTGAAATAAATAAATATGTATGTGGTATATGAGTGTCGTTTTGAATGAAGATAAAAGAATCAACCAGTTTTGTTCATCTTTCTTTTAATTAAGTGGGATCTTTATGTGGTTCACAATGGTACCATGATTATTAAAGTATAACACACACAAGTCTAAAAACTGCACTGACTATTTATTAATTCGCTGTGTGATACATCTTTTGTTGAACTGCTATACAGATATAAAATGTACATATGTACTGGAAGATGAACTGACATGTGTAGCATAATAATAACCATCTTGCAAAGTATGGCAATCTGTAGCCTGCTGTAGCTTCTTTTAATCCTGGTTCACTGAAATATGTCTCTGGAAGTCTTTCTTTCTTTGCTTAATGCAATCAATGAGGTCACCTATTCCAGCCCAAAGTACAATGTCTAATACTTTGAAATTCTCAGAAATTCTTTACCTTTGCACAAAATGAATTATTAGCTTTTGGTCATAATATAAAGAGAAGACAACGTATGAAACATCTGACAACGAAACTGTAGCAGTAGATGGAATAAAACTTGTTTTGGTCTCACAAGAGGTTGTCAGAAATCTTATTTCTTCATAATTCAACTCACAAAAGATTTTTCATGTTATTCAAATTCTAAATTCTGCATAATTTTTAGCAAAGATTGAATTGCATAAGACTTGTAAAACTATGCATGCAGGACATGCATGTATTTAAAAAAACCCTTCTTTTTATCAAATCAGGCAAATCAGGAATCTTTCAATGCTCAAAGAAATGACATAAAATAACAGAGCTAGAACAGGTGCAAGGCTACTGTACCTCCTCTCAGTCTCTGGTGCATTGTCAGATGCCTTAACAGTCAGTGCGTAAGATTGTCCCACAGTTAAAGTGACACCTGGTGCCACAGTAATGCGTCCAGTGCGATTATTAATGATGAAATGTCCCTGGGCACCGGCTAGTATCTCGTAGGTCACTAGACCATTCATTCCCTCATCAGCATCTACTGCTGTTAACTGGGAGAAAAAGGTAGAGAAAGAAGAAGTTAAAAAACACACATTACATACACACTGTTTTTTTATTTTAACCATCCAGTACTTGTAGCTTACAGGAGCTCTCCACAGCTTCCGGCGACATGCTTACTGGACCAGTCAAGCAGTAAATACTTCTTAATAGAGGGTTGCGACTTTAGTCAACCTGCCAACCTGGAATCCACTTTGGTGCTCTATTATTTTTTAATGGATAGTGACCTTTATTACATGTACATATAGGAACAAATGGTTGGCCTTTAGCTGAAAGTATACAAGCTACTAACACTGCAAAGTGATCATCTTTTTCTGCTGGCTGCATTTTTTTCATTCCTAATGATTGCACTTTGGTGACCTTAATGATTAATAAAGTTTAGATTGAATAATGAATTTCATGCTACCTTTCATATGAGATTGATTACAAAGTTTTACAAAGACAACTGGCACTGAAGGTTTATTTTCAGAAGTAAAATGAAAAAAAAAAAGCATATTTAAATGAAAAGTGATTAAACTTATTAAAGGAATTAAGCAGCCATCATTTCTTCCAAGCCAATTATTTAGAGCATCCCACTGCTTTAAATGAGGAGCCCTCATGGTGTAGTTGAATACATATCATTTAGGACTTGAAACTTTAATCCAAGCTACCCAGACTGCCTTTTTCATGCTCTGGATGTTGGAGTAAAAGCATCAAATAAGCAGCAGCATCCTTAGGGGACCTGTGGCTCTCATAAACAGCTTATAAAAATTGGTTAAGCGGTCATGCCAGACACTCTGTGACCCCTAGCCTCATATCAGGGAGGGTGAAATGGCTGTTTTTAGGAAAGATTAAACTTGACCTTTTCAGTGCCTGACTTTTTTTTTTTTTTTTTGAGAAGCTGTGCTGAGAGGACAGATCATCTGAAAGACAAAAAGATCATGCTCTGACTGTCAAATGAGTGGCGGTTAAATCAGGTAACTTTCCAAATTGATAGATAACAGAAAGAGATTGTGGGTTTACATTTTGAAGCCTGTTGTGCATGTAAATGTAACTCTGCCTGTCCTTGCACAGGTCATTTATTTGTGCATGGATGCTTACTTTATTTGGCATTAGCAACTCTGTGTGCATGACATAAAAATGGGAAATAGATCATGACCTCTGAAGCCAGCACATTAATGAAATCATACAATTGTTCCCAATCCATAAAAAATAATCAAAACCACCAATAAAGCAAATAAAATAATTTAAAAAAATCCAAACACCCTGTTTTTAAACATCCAAATCCTTTTTTGCAAGGGGAAAGATTGATTATTGGTCATCACTGATGCCTACCACAGTGAATTCACTGCAGTCATGACACCAGCTGATCTGCTGGATAAAAGGCTTCCTAAGCCTGTGCACCGGAGACAGAGATAAAAACATTCTCACCGACTTGTCTGTCATGGCTGCAAATGAGATGAAGGGAACTGCTCCAGGGGACTGCCTGTCAACACAGTGTGCTGGATTGTTGTGGTTATTTGCTTTGAGCATAAAAGAATATGTGTGAGAGATTCGGAGTGAAAGCAGTGTCAAAGCAAGAGACAAAAAGAGAAAGAGAAAGGTGAGAGAGTGATTGTTTGATTGATTACCTGTAGTACCGTCTCTCCTGGCTGCATGCCTGTATAGACTTCAACACTGTAGGAGACCTTAGCGAAACTGGGTGTATTGTCATTGGCATCAATGACCAGGATGTTGACAGTAACTGGACTACTCAGCTGGACACCATCTGAAGCCACCATCTGTAAACATACAAAGCACAAATATGAATTGTAGTTTTAGAAACTGAAGACCATTTGTTGAAATAAATACCAGAAGAGATTTTTTTTGCATGCTTATGCTTTCAGGATTTATTAATGTGTCTTTTGTTTTGAGAAGAGATCATGACAGATGACAGGGTTCTACCCCTGCAATAGTCACTTACACTTTGTACAGTATATGTTCATTTTTCCATTCCCTTAACATAAAAAGCCTTTAAAAAGATGAGTTTGTATATAGCTTGCCTAAAGGACAGATTGCAAACTGCATGTTTATTTGTCCCAGCCAGTCCTGATCTCCAGAACTTGGCAAGGGAGGAAGAAAACGGACTAAGCAGACAACAAACAAAGTGTAGGCAGCAGCAAGAAAATACATGTTTATGTGGGGAAAATTGCTTTTCCTCAAAAATGTGCACTCAGCGTCTAAATAAAAAAAGACATGTCTTGCTGATTACACTGTAGATCAGGAGAGTGCCTGTAGTAGCACTTAAACATTTACAGTGAAGGTGTTGCACAGAATCATATAATAACATGTATGACAGCAGCTATTTTCTCTCCTGTCAAAGGCTGTTTCTGTTCTCCAGCTAGTCCAAGGAGAGATGTGCCAGAAACATTTTAGCAGCCAAGGGGGAGAAGAAGATTTGGATTTACTAGGTCATCATACAACTATATGTGACGACACTTCATACATATACAAACGTGCAAGTACAAATGTGCACAAATGAGATGTAAGCAATGTCATGCCTACTTCCTCATCCCTCTGTCTCACACACAGCAGTAACAAAAATAAAACCATCATTTTTGAAGACTGATATTTATCTAAACTGGATGTGTGTGCTCTGTCTTCCTTCCAGTCCAGGATATGCAGAGTAATTATAACATTCATTTGATACTACCATTTACACAAAGGCATGATTTCTCTCTATGAACAATGTCTGAAATAACATCCTCTTTACAGAAGCAAAAGTACAGCCATCAAAGCCTCAACACAGTTATCTATTAAACAATATGTTAATAAGCTCTGAGCAAGAATTCAAAGCATTTATTTAACATCAGATAATATACAGCAGATAATTATGACTGTTTATCCAATATATTGTGTTTAGTCGTGGCAGTCACCAGTTTCAGCTTCAGAGTCAGGGGGCCAAAAAAAAACTAAACATTTGACTTGTGCATTAAACTGACTATATGTAAGATTTGGACAGTAGTGGGTACTGAAATGTAAGTGTAGAGATTCTGTACACAAAAATTTTGTCATGGTCTCTTTGTCCACAAATGTTTGACTGATTATATTAACTGTTTTATACAACCTGTCTGTCGAGGCTGGACAGCAAAAGCAGCACAGCAGTGTCTACAACAGATTAACTCAGGCACACTAACGGCACAGGACCAGTGTTTTTGGCACTGCTTAGAGCCCAGTGGACAATCACTGTGGTTATACATGTTAAACAGAAACAAATAAACTTAAAAGCTGTGGAAAAGCTTGAACGGTCTGCAGCTTGTGAGGGCAGCTGTGTTTACCAAAACAAAAAACGGTTGTCAGACAGATGTGAAATGGACAACAACAAAAAGTGTGGCTGAAATACACCTGAATGTTAACAGGCTGTGGAAAATGCACTAAGACTCAACTGATGAACCTAATGTGAGAGGTGAATAACATCCTTATGCTGGATGAAATGATCCATACCTAGCAGGAAGTTGGTGACATTTAACTAAATGTAAAAATCATTAGCTAAGTGGAGTCATCGCATAAGATGTGAATAAAGAAGAACCGACTCATTATAAATACATCTTACCCAGAGGCCATTTAACAGCATTAAATGTACAGCTGGACTCCGGGAAACATGTTGAGCAACAACAGTAAACATTCACTAGGTGAAAAGCATCATCTGTTATTCTTAATCTTTCCAGTGACAATGTTGCTGATGATCCAGAAAGGGCTTCTCCTTTACATCTGTTCAACAACCATCTTAAACAGCTGAGTGGGCCATGAAGATCTAAAAATAAACGTATTTAACAGTCACCACTGCAAAGTGGTGGCACAGTTTTCACTACAAGCGTTTTAGACATTTATATCGAAAATATAAAACCAGTGTTTGAGCTCATTGTAAACCAAACCAGAGAAAACTGTACTACCTAAACAGACCTCGCAACAAACAGCACAAAAAGGGTCAGCTCTGTACACATACAATGAACACATCATACCTTCATACGTAACAACTGATGTCCAAAGCACCTCTACCAACCAAACCAAACACTATAACCTACAGTGAACCGAGACATCTCTGTTCAGAAACACCTGCTCTCTCCAGGGAACCATCCCCACAGAGCTCACTGTAAGCTCATTCTTGGTTTACTGAAGCTCTCTAATCCAAAGGAATACCTGTGGGTGAAAGGAGTGGCTGTATTTCCCAAAATGCTGCTATCCCTCTAAGTAGCAAAGAAACAAGTTAATCTGGTGAACTATGCTGGTGTCACTCTATAGCAGCAATGAAACAGAAACCCAAACACTGAAAACACCATATGTACAGTAAAAGTTACCCAGTTACAAGTTAGCCAGGTGATTAGTCTAATGGTTGTATGAATGTAGCCATGGAGTTTAATGAGACTGTACCATCTCATACGTCAGAAGATTATGGAGTTGTTTTTAGTATATCACATTTTATTAGTATATCCATCCATCCATTTTCCTCCGCTTATCTGGAACCGGGTCGCGGGGGCAGCAGTCTAAGCAAAGATGCCCAGACTTCCCTCTCTCCAGACACTTCCTCCAGCTCCTCTGGGGGAATGCTGAGGCGTTCCCAGGCAAGTCGAGAGACATAGTCCCTCTAGCGTGTCCTGGGTCTTCCCCGGGGCCTCCTCCCGATGGGACATGCCCGGAACACCTCCCTAGGAAGGCGCCCAGGAGGCATCCGAAACAGATGCCCGAGCCACCTCAACTGGCTCCTCTCAATGTGGAGGAGCAGCGGTTCTACTCTGAGCTCCTCCTGGGTGACCGAGCTCCTCACCCTATCTCTAAGGGTGCGCTCGGCCGCCCTGCGGAGAAAGC